ATTTGAGTTAAGATATCTATTGATATTACTGCTGTTTGTTAACAGAAGTAATTTGTTAAGTGTTAGTATGTTAAGTATTGTTGATGAAGTGTTAGTAGCTTTTCTGGAAAAATATAAAGATTCAGTAATATTTATTATATACTTTAAATAACAATGGCTTAATGAACTAGATGAATATAGTAATCTCTATAGTATTAACAAAGTTATGTAGATAAAAGCTTATCGTACTGGAATTCCAAGTAACAACATGAATACAACAAATATGCTGGAATCTTGGCATAAACATCTTAAGTATTGTAATTTTGAAGGAAAAGTAAATAGGCGTATTGATATCTTAATTTATGAGTTACATGTAGCATGGAAGTTGATATTTGGCAACAGCAGTGGCTTGCTGATATTAGAGCAGAACAAATGATGCTAGCTGAAAGAGAAACTCATAGTAGACAAATAAAAGGACAAGAATTAGCAAATACAGTACTAGAGAATATAATTAGTAGCACTATTGGACTATAGCTTCAGAAACAAACCCAAGTATTAGATATTGCGTAGAAACAAAATTTGAATATAACTAATTAGAAAAACAATTTTCCTGTACTTGTACAGATTTTCATATTCGAAACCTTCCATGAAATATATTTATGCTATAATTATTTGCTATTTTTCTTCACTTTCAAAAAGTGCTGAATCTTCTCATTAGCAACAGCAACATATACAACAAGCAAGTTATCAACAACAACCTACAACTGAGATGCTTATTGAAAGTATACAAAAAATAACACATAACCTTCATGATCTTGATATTAATGCTTTGAAGTTGTTTATAGTCAACTATCTTGAGTTCTTAAAGATATTCATAGGCTGAAAAGGACTTTTCAGATAGGTGACTGTGTAAGTGAAGATCTGAGTATGAAATTTCTACTAAATATAAATATTGAAAGGCAGTGAAGATAATATAAAATTTTATATCTTTTATATTTTAATTAATTTATTAGAGCGTTAAAATTATTCGAAATAAATTTTGTTTAAAAATCTTATTGTTTATTAATATAAACATCAAATAATCTATAATACTTCAACATACCGTTAAAATAAAAAAAAAAAAGATCTCGCTTGAACATTCACTTGGTAGTATTACATGTACTAATTTTCTACATACGAGAATCAACTAATCAGCTTTTGTTACACAGGTGATGAGTGATCTGTTCTATTTTTAGGTTTGTATCACTAGCGCAAATAAGTAAATCATAATTTAAATAGTCTGCTATACAGACTATTGACTATTTGTTGGTTCTACACTATATTGCTATACTTGCAATCTGCCTGTGAGTTACTTATTTAAATACTTTGATCTTTAACCCTTTTTCTTATTCTAAACTAATATTACCACTATATTTGACTACTTAAGTTAGCTGACTTATATATAGATCTATTTACTATATAGCTTAGATCTTCTTTAAAATATATGGAGGTGAGTCAATAGAAATCAAGCAAATTGTTTTTATTGAAATTTTTTTGATACTTTAAACAATAATAACTCTACAAAAACTTTATCAAATTTAATAAAAATTTTTTTAAATATTCTACAATTGGTAATATTTATTTTAAAAAAATTTTTATTAACTTTGATTATGTTTTTGTTAAGTTATTATTGGTTAAAGTTTCAAAAAAATTTACTTAGAAAAAATTTGCTTGATTTCTATTGACTCAACCCTATATATTGTCTAATATATCGTGAGTTGCAGAGCTCTAGCTAACCTTAGAAGTAATTCTTATCAGAGTAGTTATGTGCTTATTTTACAAATTCACTTAGCTTAGACTCTTGTTAATATTCATACAAATCTAGTTCTTGCTATAGCTCTCTACTAAATATAGTTCTCTAAATTCTAGTCAGATGTTTTATAAGGTAGATCCTCCTAATCTAGTTAGCTGCTAAGCCAAGTTAGTATTACTATCAGGCTGCAGATTCATAATAGTTTTATTCATATTATTAATTTTATATCCTTTATACTCAAGTTTTTCATTAGATCAAGTGTTAACTAGCTTAACTATTAAAATTTATACTACTTTACCAAACTTGAAATTTCTACTATGCAGATCCTCTGCCTGTAGATCCTATCAAGATTTATTCATGCAATATAACTCAAACATTGTATCACACTTCCAATATCTAATTAACATTAGTACAATATAATTTACAGAATTATAATCTCAGAAATGAATAGAGTTTACTATAAGTTGGATACAAAGGTCCAGATAATTATTCAAATTCATCAATAGTAGGATTTGAATCTCAAACCTCTTGCATAGCAGTCTAGCAACCTAACTACTACACTAAGATTACCAAACTTGTAAAACAAATTTCTTTAAGGGAAAGAATATGTTATATAATAGATTTTAGTATAATTTACATTATTTTTTTATTAGTATTTTAGTATTATTTCTTATATTTGTATTATTTTAGTATAAATATTTTATAGTATAGAAAATCATTATAAATATTCACCTCTAAGTAAAGTTTTTTAAAAAGTATTCATAGTGAAAAATACCCTTAAATAACTTTGTAGCCAAGAATATCAACTATATAATAATATAAGTTATATCTAAAGTTATTATATAACATCTAGAGAAAATATAGGCTGTAGCAAGAAAATACTGTGCTAAAGCTATGCTAAACTGTGCTGAATACTGTACTGAACTATGCTGAATACTTTGCTAAGTACTATACTAAAACTACATCAAATACTGTGCTAATACTGTACTAGATTATGCTAAAAGACTATACCAAACTATGCTGAACTGTGTTGAGTATTATGCCTCTTGCTGTATCAAACTATTAATATCTAAAATTTTTAACTAACTCCTTAAAAGTAGTAGGAATTTGATAAGAATTGTTTAATAAAATTATTTAAA